GCCGCGGGGCAAGGGATTTTGTGGTCACCTCTGGAGGTGACTGCAAATGCCCTTTTTCATTTGTTGCATTTTTTTCGAAAATTGGCAAAAATTCGTTCACAAAAGTTCTTGCACAATTAGTGGATGGCCCCGTGTGACCAGCCAAGTACGAAATCCCCATTTCTCCAGAAGGCCGCGACCTTGTCCCATCTGAAAGGCACAGCACTGTGACGTGAACCATGCCCAAAACCTCAAATCGGCCGTTCCCAAATTGCGGATTTCGGGTCGCCATGTGAGTATGCCCTCAGTTCTAGAGTTCGTATTCGAAACAAACTTTGTTGAAAAAGAAAAGTTCACGGATTTTGGTCTCCCCCCCCTGTGTGACCACGCGAGGCACGACTTTGGCAATTGCCAAAAAGTCCTGCTCGTGTTTTTTGTGATTTGCTGCCTCTATGTGACCGGGCCCGTGGCATTTCAGCAAAATCGGGATAGCAAAATGCACAGATTTTGCTGCCATGCCACTGCTGTGGGCACAGGGCGAACCCAAAGCCGCAAAATATGCGGATTTGGGAAGGGTCCAAAGGGCCGATTTGAGGTTTTGGGTATGGTTCACGTCACACTGCTGTACCTTTTCAGATGGGACAAGGTCGCGGCCATCTGGCTGGTCACACGGGGCCATCCACCAATTGTGCAGAACTTTTGTGAACGAAATTTTGCCAATTTTTGAAGAAAATGCGAAAAAAAAAAAGGGAATTTGCGCCCCGCGGCTTCCCAGGCTGCTGACAAATGGGCACTGGAATAGTACATTTGCGAATTTGGTAGATCCGTTTGACCGGCCTATTCCCATTTTTTTTGGGATTTTGGGATTATAGGTTCCCGTGTGAGTATGCCCTAAGTTGAGGTATAAGTGAAATACTCCTGAAAGATGTGGGTAGAGTGCATTTTCCTTCGGGGAATTCTCGCTGTCATGGCCCTGTCAGCCCATTGCGCACTTTTCAATTGGGCCTTGGAAAAGTTGCCAAAATTCAGGGGCATTGTGCAAATTGGCATGGTAACCGGTAGGTGTGTATTGCAAAGAGTCACCCGACGCCAGGGGTATTTCACAAAAGACTTTTCTTGTCAGAGGAACATTCCTCTCTATTCACGTTTCTTAGGGGCATTTTGGCATATATCTCGATTTATGGGCGTATTTTGCAAGTTATGACCCACCTCAGATAAATTCGGAGTTATTTTCAATCCTCAGATTCCATTGGAATTCGAGCTTGGGTCTGCCTTTCAAGAGTTCATGGGTGTACCAACTGACCTGGAAACGGCTATAAATACTGCTTTTTCCTTCGGGACATCCGTTAAAATTGGAACGATACAGAGAAGATTAGCATGGCCCCTGCGCAAGGATGAGGGCCAGATCCCACTAGCCCCTATTGTTCATTTCTGACCGTTGATCTTCGTGATCGAGGGTGAAAAATGAATAATCCAGGGTAGTGGGATCCAAGCCTGACAGGCATAAATCGAGAAATGGTCCAAATTAAAAAAAAAAAAAACGAACCCAAAACAAAAACAAAAAAGAAACTGCTTTCGCGCATCTGGCCTTTCTGTTTCGTGGCAAATTCGTGCTGCCGCCTCCAGCGAGATTGGACATCACTGTCATCTTCAGTGAGAAATGATGATGGTGTTCTCGTCGACATACCCATTTTCGGCTTTCACTTCGGGTCGTTGCACTCTCTCTCTCTCTCTCTCTCTCTCTCTCTCTCTCTCTCTCGCGCGCGCGCGCGCGTGTCTGTGTCTGTAAGGGGAACCGCTCTCCCGCGCGGGTGTGTTTACGTTTAGGAATCTGCTGAAAGTAGGACGCTCTTTACATCGTTGATGTTCGACGTACTGTGATAGTTATTCTGCGAAATCGCGTTCTGAGGAATACCAGAGGAGAAGGTTCATTGATGTGGCTGATCGTGATTGCCACAGGAGTCGGTCGATGAATTCGATTCTGAATACACGGCAAGATGTTCACGCTGCGGCCAGATTGTACTTTTGTCAAGCTGACGCCCGCCTTGTCCGCTTTCAGCTCAACGGGATGACTGTTGATTTCATTCTCCATTGATTGACGGGTAGAGATAGTTCAGCTTTCTTCCCGATGCTCGAGAATAGAAGAGCTGTCTACATTCTCGTGTCCACACACATATACTTATCCCGCCTCTTTTCTCCACATCTATTTCGCTTGCCCCAAATTGTGTCCGTCGTTTCCGCTGTCGCCATACTAATTGCTTTCACAAGGACGCTGCTCCAGGCAAGCCGCTTCGAGCGACTCTCCGTGCATGGAGTCTCAGGTCTGGCTTCTCCTCCTCTCTCTCTGTGTTTTGGCGCGTGAATTTTCCCGCGCTTTTGTTTTGGCTTGTCCTCTTTGCTCATCGTTGTCTCTAGTACCGCTACCGTTGGCGAGTAGTCCATGGTCTAAACGGAACGGACGATAACGGAGTCTTTTGTCTCTACTACTCTCTAGTACCACCACCGTTGGCGAGTAGTCCGTGGTCTAAACGGAACGGACGATAACGGAGTATTTTCCGTAGGTGGAAAACAAGGATTGAGAGTGTTGGAGAACCTTCAAGCAATCCGAGTAAAGCACCTCGCCGCCCGTTTGGCGCCGGTTGCATTGATATTAGGGGTTCGGCTTCTCCTTCTGTCTGTCTGTGTTTAGGGCTGATAAAGATTCTCGCTTTTGTCTTTCTGTGTTTCCTACGGGCGGGAATCTCAGGTGCATCAAAGGTAGAGTGCTCAAGGCGAGAACGGTGATGCTCGAGTTATGATCCATGCCGTGGACGGTGGATCTATGATCTGCGACTTAGCGCCTGGCATTCCATGCTCAGTCACTTCTCTGAAAGTCCATCATCACCATCGCCGAGCTCATGGTCCGGACATAAAGGACAACAACGGACTAGAGCAGTCCATGCCGGAGGCGGGAAACGAAAACGGAGGTTGTGATAGTACCCGCCACGAGACCGGCAGATTCACCCAGGCCTTCGTCTCAAGGCGGGAAAGGAGAACGGAGGTTGTGATACTATTGATAGTACCCGCCGAGAGACCGGCCGATTCACCCAGGCCTTAGTCACGACTTTCCCGTGGACGTAAAGATAGCTGAGTCACCTGAGTGCGCTCTTACAATCGGTCTTGGTCATCGAGGAGTGCGCGCGTTTTTCAGACCTGGGGACACAGGTTGGCGGCGCGGAGTAACGGCAGAGGGAAGGGAGGCGAAAAACATGGGCAAGCGGAAACGCTGAAGACGTAATGGAACCTTTAGTGGCCAAAACCGAAAAGGGTTTGGCGGTCCTTCGGGACATCCGTTAAAATTGGAAAGATACAGAGAAGATTAGCATGGCCCCTAAAAAAAGAAAAAAAGAAAAAAAGAAAAGGTTTTGGCGTGGGCGCTTTCTTCCAATTACATCCCTAATGCGATAGCTCAATGATTAGATGGGAGAATAGATATATAGATCCATAGAAAGATAGATGGAAGGATAGACAAAGCTATATGATGAATAGAGAGGCGAGATCGGTCGATTGAACTGTGTGATAATGCATCGCCGATGAGAGTTCAGACCTGTTGAGGGATTAGCTAATACCAGTGAAGGAAGAGGAATTGGGGGAGGCGGAGGCGGAGGCGGGGGCGGGGGTGGCGCAGGGAAGGGAGAGGGAGAACGTACATACAGATGGCAAGACAAAAGGAAATTGATATAAACATCTATAAATAGATAGACGGATGGAGTGGATCCATTGATATACCCCTCGTTAGATGGATCCAACAATTCATAGTTAGGAAGGCGGTAGGCAATGGGTAGTTGGACTGAGTTGATGGATGGGTGAATAGATGGGTAGATAGATGAAAGACGGCTTTGATAGGAGCTCGAAGTTCTGACACTGGTTTGTGTACTACCATACTGAAGTTACGTTTCATTCTTTTCGTATCTGGATAAGTGTTCTTTATCTCCTTTTCCGAGGTTTCCGAAAAGAGAAAGATTCAGAGATTCAATAGATATTCGATAGATAACCCTACAGATTGACTGCTTGACCCTAGTCACCCTACCAATCAATCCATAGATGTTAAATTCACAGCCAGACAGGCATAGATAGATACAGGTATTTTCGCAGGATACACAGGGGGAGGGGGAGAGAGAGAGAGAGAGAGAGAGAGAGAGAGAGAGAGAGAGAGAGAGAGAGAGAGAGAGAGAGAGAGAGAGAGAGAGAGAGAGA